GGATGTAGTGACCATAAATAATAATATTAGGCTCTTTGAGTCTAGTAATTGGAAAGAGTACAATCTAAATTTCTTAACGAGGGTTCATTGGATGGCGAGGTGATAAACCAATAACATCTGGCTGGTGAACCAGAAAGAAACTGTTAACCATAAGTGTGGGGCAAAGAAGAAAAGATGTACTCACTTTGATTCTAGGATGGAGGAGGCCTATGATAGCTGGATAAATGTAGGGTATCCTCTCTCCAAGAAGTATGCAGGACACTCTAAAGAAGAGAAAGCACCCTAAAAGTGTAGGTGGATCCATCCATATAAGTATTTCCATGGTAGTACCAAATCTCGTAGCTCTAGAGAGCTTGCCCCAGAAGTTGTGCGTAAAGCACTATACGTTCTGGTAAGTACAACTGGAGATATAGAAAGATGTTGCCCCTATTACAGCTGATTGGCTGCCAAAAGAACACTACACCTCATGGACCCTGCCTTGAGGGGAAGCATAAAGGTACTAAGCCAGGTAGATAGAAACCCCACAAAGAATAAATCCTCAATGAGATTGAATCTCCTTATAATATTAATATTTCATCCAATATTGAGATTGAATCTCCTTCACCTCCATATCAAAGTGATGAAGGTAATCAAGTGGCTCCTTTTGTTGGCTCTATTCCTGTTCCTAGTAGTGCATATGTCTCTATCTTAATGTCCATAATTTTTATTTATATATATTTATGCTTTTCTAATGGATTTACTTAGTCTAATTTGGAGTGTGTGCTTCATGAGAAATGAAATCTGATGGGGATCATGATGATCCTCGAGTTATACATTGTCCTTCATACTACTTTATTTATATTTGGAAAGAGGAGGAGATTAATTATATAGGTAATAGTGCCTTTCATAAAGATATTGATTTAATATCATACATGTTGCCAAAGATGATTTCTCTCTAGTTTCAAATAAGAGAAAGATGAAAAATAAGAACAAAAGCCAGAATTGCATTTCAACTGAAGCTAGAATCACTAAATCTAATGCTTCTCTTAAAATTAATTCTTACGAATAGAAATATCATGTGTATGATCACTCTAATTGGAAGGCTCTATTTTGCTTTTCATTTTTCTTTTCTTTTGGCTTCTTTGCTTGGGTTATGGGTTGTTGATGGTTCCCTTTTCTTGTTGCTTTGATTATCCTTGAAGTAGTTTTCATTGGTGTTTTTGTTGGGTTTTTTATTCTTTTTTTTTTTCTATTATTCATCCTATGTGAACCTGAGGCTTTTGGTTTTTATGATGGTGTTGGTTAGCATTATATTTTTTGGGTTTTTTGGTGCTTTGGTTTGTAGTTTTTGGCTCATTGTGATGGTGGGGGTTCATTTTTCTACTGGATTAGTGAGTTGTTTGTGTTTTTAGTTATTGTTTTGAATGGTTGTTATTTTTTTCTTGGGGGTGGGTTGGTGGTAATTGCTGTTGGGTCTATCTCTAGTCTTGGATTTGTGGGTAGTTCTATTTAGCTGTGGTTGGGTGATTGGAGTTTATATTTGTCTTGGTTTTTTTTTTCTTATTTAATTATTTAATTTATGATTTTCTAATCATCCAATCTTGTGCTGATTTTGTGAGAAATTTGTTATTGCAGATCTTTAAGCACTACAGGAAAAACGTCGAAATCCGGCGGTTTTTTTACTACATGCGGCTTTACGGTGGTTTTTTGGCCGCCGGAAAAAATCGCGTAGAAAACTTGTACCGGCGGTGTTTTACCGGCGGTTTTTTTTTTGCGGCGGTTTTCCGGCGGCCTAGACCGCCGGTTACAACTTGATTTTGAACCGGCGGTTTTCCGGCCGTGACGCCGCCGGTTATTTGACCGACGGCTTACCGGCGGTCAATTTACTAACGGTCCTCCGGCGGTTTAGTTGGGCGTC